AGAATGTTCGCCTGCAGATGATGAAGCCCGCCTTTAGTCCCTCCCATTGGCTAAATACTGCATGATGTGATGGAAGACCTCAGCGGAGCTTTACTATGGGGAGATTTCACACTCATTTTATTCATTAAAGCAAAACTAAACCTGATCATTAAGAGGAAATCACTCAGCTGTGGGTGTTTGACTTTTTATTGCACACACACAAAAAAAAACTAGGATGGATGGAAAGGTCCCGCGAGAATATGAAAAGCTACACGGGATATGATCAAGTCTCGACCTGCGTGCGTTGAGCACACATGCACAAGAATGTGAAGCTTTGATGTGAAGGCGGTGCAGTGACGTCATAACTGGGACCACGTGACATCCGACTTTAAACTCTTTCTAAATGAAGTTAAGATGCAGTTTTTCAAGTTTGCTCTTTAACAACTATTTAAGACGGATTCAAATTAAGCAACTTAGATTTAATTTAATCTTAGTCAAAGATTATTATTATTATTATTTTTCTTTTTTCAAGAATTATTCAAAGTGACTTGATAAGTAGTGTTTCAGTCAAGAATACACCAACCGAGACCAAGTAGTATCAAGGCCCTCTAAAGGTCTTGGCCTTTTCTTGGTCTTGGTTGATGTGGTCTTGACTACAACATCTAATGAAAGTTAAGCAGCCACACCTTAAAATGCATGTAAAGAGCAAGGCATAAACAAACTTAGCGACTGCTTAGGGCCCCAGGGCCAGAGGTGTAGCCAGTAAATGTTAATAAAGGTGGCCAGGCAATAAACAATGTATACTGAGGGGTGGCCGAAAGCGGATATGGTGCCAGAACCTCAGGGTCAATCTACACTGTTCAAAAAGAAAAATGAACAATCACAACATCCATATTTTTTTAAAATAAAGACAAATTATACTTTCCTAAAGACTTCACTAACAAATAGACGCATATATTTAAACATCCACGCTGTCTAAATTAAAGGTGTAGTGGACAAAATTCTTTCAGTTTGGAGTTCTGGGGCGAACATCTTATTAATTATCATTACTTACCTACTTGTATTAATAATCATCTTGCATTAAATTAATATTTACATGCACTAATATCTGCATTAAATTGATTACTTATTATTAAAGTAGTTATTTATCTCTGATTTCAATGAAGATTCCTAGATAACTTGCAAAGACATAATTTTCTCTTTATCTCATATAAGACAAACTCTAGCTCTGAAAAGAGCATGAATTCTGTATTTATCATCTTTAATGTTAATATATTGATGTGCATAATTAACCACAGTGTTTTTGTTGTCAGGTAATTGTTTACATATAGAAAACTAAAATGTTAAGTTAAAACATTCCACGTGAGAGTATTACTGCTGCCACTGTCTGTATTAGAGGGAAAAAATGGTACGGGTGATTGGGTAAGGGTGGCCATGGCCACCCCTGGCCCCCCATCTAGCCCCGCCCCTGCCTAGGGCAACTCGCCTCCCCATATTTTTCATATATTTAATAATTTTTTACTTATACATGAACAAAATATATATTGGAGGGTTAGGGTTAGAGAGGAAAACCTTCTTAAAGCACAGTTTAGCTAATTTACGCCCCTCCCTCTATCAAAATGAGATCAGAGTTCTTCCTAAATCCTTGGGTCGCTCTCAGGATGGCCTGTGCTTTCCCTGGCAGCCCCAGCCCAAGCCTCCCCCTGTTAAAAAGTCTAAAGTACATTTCAAAATGCAGAACTATGATAATTAAACAGAAAAACAGTACAAAGTGTGCTTTCCACTGTGTCCGAACATCCGCCCTAATCACTATATCTGGCACTATATGGTGGTTACACCATTTTAAATGAGTGTCAGAATGCCTAGTGGATTAAAAACTAACTGACTAGAAATTTCCAACAATGCACCTTTATTGATCAGTCATGGTCACTAGATGAGCAGGTATATCCCAGAATGCTTTGCAAAAGCATCATGGAATTTGTTGTCACAGCGACTAATAACAAATATGATTGAGGGATTTAGAGGTTAGGGCAGACATTCAGACAGTCTGAGTATATCTGTGCCAAACAGGACTGTTTACCATTAAATTGGAAAACCGTGCATAGAATAGCAGGACCCCATTTCACTAAACCTGAATTTATATGTTACAGAGTAAGAGATATAGTCAGACTTGACAAGGCAGACCCTGAACGTCCACCCTAACCCCTGAATGCCTCAATCACTATAAAGAGCAGGGACTGTATAGACTTTATAGTGAACCCAGTTAACTGACGGTTCAGACAGATGATCACTACTTTTCACTCCCATAATTTAAGGAGTAATTTGTAATTTTTCTCAAATGGAAAACTTTTTATCTAAAAATAACCAATGAAAGCTATTATAGTAATGTGCAGTTCATTTATAGGTTTATATTGCTTGTATGTTCCAGCATTCAGTGTTTCTGTGGCGTATTGGTTTAAGTCTTTGCCTTCAACGCTGTCGATTTGGGATTAATTCATAAAAGTTATCTAGCATTAAAAACTTGAATCAAACAGCAGATATGATTTATAACTTTTTTTGTTCCTACATTCAATTGTTTCCAAGATTCAGGCCAGGGGAAAATGTCCCTTACTTTGGGGGTCCTGTTTTAGAAGGGATGGGGTTGAATGGGTTTGGAAGCAATAAAATGTGTTCAGATAATGAAATTCACATAATAAATCATGCATTTGACAGGCCTAACAACTACTCACTCTGACCTGAGCTTTGAGATTCGCTGTTAACAAAATCTCCTTCATGTGCCCCAGAGGAGAAGGTTTGTCTTAATGTGTGAATAGCTTCAGGGAATCCTGGATTAGGAATAGTCCAGTTTTCCCTCAGTTTCTCCTGTAATCTGTAGCCTAATCCATGTTCCAGTCAACACTGTAGAATCTCTCCTTGATGTAGTTCATTCTTCTGTGGCTGAGAGGGTATGAGGATGTGTGTTTATCCTTTTAATGCCAAATACACACTTCTGATGTGATAAATAGTCTTTCCTTAAATGTTCAGCATCTTCCCCTGCAGACAGAAGAAAACCACTAGCAGAAAATCACTAGCAGATTATCTGTGTGGATCAAGGGATAGTTTTATTTGTTACCCTGTCTGGAACATGCAGAAGAAGATTAGGGCCACTTGAAAAAAGGAAAAAAAAAGTTAACTGATTCCGAGTTTAATCTCAGAATTCTGACATTTTTCTAAGAATATTATTTTAATCTCAGAGATCTTACTTTCATCTCAGAATTCTGACCTTAATCTCCGAATTCTGACTTTAATGTCAGAAATATTACTTTAATTTCAAAATTCTTATTTCAATCTCAGAAATTTTACCTTAATCTCAGAATTCTGACTTTAATGCCAAAAATATTACTTTAATCTCAGAATTCTGCCATTTTTCTTAGAAATATTATTTTAATCTCAGAGATCTTACTTTAATCTCAGAATTCTGACCTTAATCTCAGAATTCTGACTTTAATGCCAAAAATATTACTTTAATCTCAGAATTCTGACATTTTTCTTAGAAATATTATTTTAATCTCAGAGATTTTACCTAAATCTCAGAATTCTGACTTTAATGTCAAAAATATTACTTTAGTCTCAAAATTCTTATTTCAATCTCAGAAATTTTAGCTTAATCTCAGAAATCTTACTTTAATCTTAGAATTCTGACTTTTTTCTCAGAAATCAAGAATTTTCTCAGAATTCTGACATTTTCGCAGAAATCTAACTGCAAACAGCAATTCTCATGCAGATAACTGTTGAAAATTGTTTAAATATCTGCATTTTTCTATTCCCCTCAACACAGCAATAATCTATTGAATGCTTTACTGCCAAATTTAGAAAAAAAACAGTCTTTAAAAACACATCAAACAGTAATAATGTCTTATGCTTAATTAGGTCAGGATATCCAGAAAAAAGTCTAGATTTGATTTCTTATGTTGGTTTTATAAAATGGGCCTCATATGCAAAATGTCTCCCTCATAGTGAATGAGAATTAAAATTTTGGATATAGTATTAATATGGAGTCCTTAAAGCACAGCCTCTACCACAGAGCTAATACCTCATCAATTTATAACAAAGTGAGACCAAAGTCTGATTATGTAGACTTTGGTTGTCTCTGTGCCAAACAGGATTGGGAAATACCATTTAAATAGGCTAACTTATTTAGTTTACATTGTATTTATTATTTATTCTCATACATAATAAATACAGTGACAATGTATCTTTTCTTTTTTTTTTTAGCCCATTTTAGAAGTAGAAAGTAGAAAGGTCTGCATGTCTTTCAGCAGCATAACCACAGACTTACAAAAATAAAACTTGACCAGAACATTTTAATAAAAATGAAAGGTCTGAAGCCTGTTCTTCAAAATAAATGCAGTGCTACTGAGCCTGATAACAAAAAGACTTCCATCACCCTCTACTTTTCCAGGAACCTGGCAGTCTGTGAGTCAGGAACTCTGATAGGAACCTATGAAACAGTTGGATCTCACAAGATGGAGGCTGATTATTACTGCCTCTATTCCTATACATATAAAACATGATTTACATCTAAGCCACAGAAACCATTAGACATTAAGCAACAGAAACTAAGATTATAGAAGAAAATTTGGCAGTCTTGGTGTAGTACAGCTATTGACCACAAGAGGGCGGTAGGAACATTATATCTCTTACAGAGCCTTATGAGGTTTATTTACAGCAGAGGATTAAAAAAAATGTAGCCTGGGTGCCAGTCCGAACTTAGTCCCGCCCACAAGGTTTGAATTGAATTGAGTCGGACTACGTCAGGCTAAAAAAAATGGGGTCTGAACCCAGAATCCTTAACTCCTTTTTTTTTTTTCTTTTTTTTTTTTTAAAGAAAAATGAATAAAACATCACTGTAAAAAAAAAATATATATATATATATAATAATAATAATAATTAAGCATGTTTAATGGGTTTTCTAAATCAGAATTACAGAATCTCTGGTCCAAAAACCCAAATGGAAATAACAGAAATAAAGCAAGCAGAGCTTTGAAATGCCCCTTTTACATTTATTACATAATAAAAGCAGCTTTATTTTGTCCAGTGTTACACATAAAAATATAGATGAAATTAACTAATAAACGCACAATAATATAAAGAAAGTGTTTTTAGTTTTTCACATGCCATAAGGCAAATAAGTCTTTCATTCAGATTTCTTTGGGAGTTTTATTTTAAGACAGCGAACAATCAGGCATGTTTGCTCCTGACGTATAAATAAATCAGCCAAACATCAGAATCAGTCTTCAATTAAAAAGCTCTTTCCACCTGTGAAATAACATTTTAAAAGACAGCTTTAACATTTCATTAAAGCACAAATACACCTTAACATCCGTTTCCACCTCTTGTGCGGTCAGAGGTAAAACACAAACCAAATTCCCAAATAGTTTTCCTGAGGATTGCCTCAATTTTAAAACAAAGCTTTATTGAATTATTCTAAAAAAACAAACAACAACAACAACAACAAAAAACATGCCAAAATTGTTAACTAAAATTAAACTCTCAGCTGCCAAACGGGTGTCCAGTGTGTCTCTGACAGGTTTATTAAACCTGACCCAACCCACAGCGTAACCTTTGGAGTTCACAAGCTTGTAGACAGCATCTGGAAACACCAATCTGATCAATGCTTCAACAGCAGCAGTAGATAAGCTTTCTTCTTCTAAGAATCTGGAGCATATTTCTTGTTTTCTCCAGGAAAAGGAAAGTCTGGCGCTCGGTTGAAGTGCCCTGTGAGGAAGATTCCCACTGTGCCAATGATGAAGAGGAGGATGGCGGCCCAGAAACACACCTTGTCGATCATCTTTCCTATCAGAACCCAGCTTTCAATTTCCTGTGTTTGAAAACAAAATGTAACCATAAAGATACATATATAGCTGGAGAATAAGCACAGATTACAATAAATGCACTCATCCTTCTTTTACAATGTAAAGCACATACTGCACCTGACCACCAGGGCTGGCCCAAAGCATATGTGAACTTTAGGAATGGTAAGGTCTCAAAGAACAAATAAGTGTGTTTTTCTATGCAGTTATGATGATTTCTATATAAATAAAGCTACAAAATCAGACAATGTAAGGATTTATACATAATTTATTACTTATAAATAAAAGATTCCTCGGTCTTTGGGCCAGATTGACCAGATTTTTTTCTTTGAATGTAAACTTTTCAAAGACAAACCAGTCTGACAGTGATAGCAGAGCTCATTTACTCGCTTCCTCTATCCTGCATCTGAAGAGTGGAGCTTTTTCAAACTTGAAACCTGAGGTCATCCATGGTGGAATAATGATGGAGTGGGCAGCCTGTGGTTAGTACTAAAAGCCCCGTGCAGGTTTTTATTTTAATCTCTCTAAGAGAAATGCTTTTTACATGGAATATTGTGTGGCAGAAGAGGTGGTTTCATTAAAATAAATTACTCATTAATTGCTCATATGGTGGAGTCCAGGCATTTCTAGTTTAGGCTTCTAACTTTAACGTTACGGTTTACTCTGCCAATGTGGTTTAATTCAGTAGAGCTTCCGGTTTTAAACCAGCCATGAAGTTCCCAATGAGGGATGTTTTATTCAAGTGCGTCTTGTAAACAAAGAAGCAAGGTGGTCAATGAAGGGAAAGCTGCATTAACTACATGTACTGTCCCTTCAGTAAATATACAGAAAAACAGCCTAAAAGGGTCAAAACAGAGAAGAAAGAACAAAGCTTGTGTAAATCTCTGACCAGCCTATTCAGAGCTTTGTGGGACCTCCTGGGATAGAATCTTGACTCCAAACTTGCTGTTGTCCTTTTAGTTATCTCAGGCACACAGAGTAAGAGGAATGTTTCTCAATGGGAGAAAGTTAGGGGCGGGGCTTATAGTTCACCCTAAACTTTTCTCCTCGCTCATGGTTAAAAACTGCAGAATCAGGTACAGCGCCTTTGTCAACAAAGATGGCCGTCAGATATCTAACTGTGATGTCAGCAATGACTTTGCAAAAAGAATAGCTTCCAGCTTTTTGTTTTTACACATGACTGTTTTAGTTATTTTAGTTTACAGTACATAAAACACATACTATTTTATTTAATTAACTTTAATAACACTTAATGATGCATAGGAGACTGTAGAGAGCTGGATTGGGTTTATCGTAGGTTTGTGAGTGATCTAATCATCACACTGATTGCAACAACAGATTTTGACAAAAACAAAGGCCTAAATGATTTTTATTTTAATTTATCATATTCATATAACTATTTGGGTTTCTTTATGCCACTGCAATGTACTTTTCTTTTTAAAATCTTCTATTCATGTGCAGCACTTTGAATGATCTTCCCACTGAAATGTGCTTACTAGATTATACATGAGAGTAGTAGTAGATCTATAATACTAGATGCCTATAGAGATTACCATATCATGCTGACATACCTCAGTGGATAATGCTTTCCATACAGCCTGGTAGAATGAAAACATAGCTTCTGGTTTTATCCCGAAGCTTGTTTTTTTAAAAGCATTCACAAAATAAAAGCTAATAAAAGTCATTAACATCCAGCCTCCTTTACTCTGATACCCAATTAAACAAACTGTGATAATAAAACTGAAACAGAAAAACAGAATTTTGAAAAAAAATGGAAACTATTATTGAAATTCTGTAAAAATGTTTTTGGAAAAGAAAATAGATTAAAAAAAAAAATAAAGTAGGGAAAATTAATTAGCAAAGAATATTTTGAAAAAACAAAAACTGTAAATGTGCAAAGTTACTCTTAAACCCTTTTTATGGAGTTACTTTTACAAACAAGGCCCCATTCACCCCTCTAGATTAAATCCCACCTCTTGGTCACACGATTCATTAAGTTACAGATCCCACCCTCAAGTTATATAGCTGAATTTTTGAGAAGATTAGCCTGCATGGAAGGTTGACATGCACCAAAACTGAATAGTTGCCAGAAAAATCCTTTAATATATCTCAAATTAGGCCAATACGTTTTATTCTAAGTTACGTGGTGTTTGTTGTAAAGGAGAACAAAAATGATCTACTAACTGTAAACTTGATAATACTCACAGATCCAATTTCATTTTGGTGTCTTTTACTCTCAGCAATAAAGTTGCAGGCATCCACACACTGCTTAATCTCAGGGGCTGCCTGTGCCAGACTCTTGTAGAGGTTTGCAGTGCTGCTGACGTCTAAATTATTTACTACAAGGAAGATTAGAGATTAATTGTTAGAAGCAGAGAGCAACACTGATCTAAGGAAACAGAAGATAACAGCATGAGCATAAGATGAGGTTTCTAACTGGAGTATTGTGCTAACTTTCTGAGATACAAAAGTCTCTCACTGATTGATCGAGTGAGGCCGTGCCTCTCTCTTTGTTTGTCGAACATCATTTCACTCCGAGGTTGTTTCAGCACATATTCCTCTGCTCTCTGCATGAGTCCGAAGGAGCTGCGCCGTCGCTCCTTCAGTCCATTTGCCTCTGCTGTCCCCTCGCTATCGTCCACCAGTGGGGACATGCCTAAGAAGCGAGGCACCATTTCCAAGAACAACTGCAGAAGACAGTTTGGACAAACCCTTGTCAGCTAAAGCAGGCCAGTCAGCAAAACACACATGCTTGATTTCCAGAGGCGTTCTTACATGCTTAACGGATTGGGACATGATGTGAGTGCTAGGGCTGCGCAGTGAGTAGTTTAGCACCACAATCTGATTGGTTGCAATGAGAGTTGTGACACACATGACAAAAATGATGTACCTGAGGAGGACATTGGAAGGTTCTCCATTTAATACAATAGAACATTTGGATTATGGTGAAAACATATCCAGCACTACGATGTACAAGTTAAGAAATCCTCAGGTCTAAGGAAAAAAGCAATCAGGTCTCAGGATTCATGAAAAAAGTTGTCAAATGTAAAAAAAAAACTGTTGTTAGGTCTCAGGTGTCATGATTTTGGCACTGTTGGATGACTTGATTATTATTTAATTCACCTGTCTAGCTCTTCGCTCTTTCTCTGAACACAGACTGAACTGTCAAACCAGGTTAGTGACTCACGTGTTCATAATCATCTTGTAAGAATATCACAGTCATTAACCTGTGTTTCTCTCCAATAAAAGTTCCTGCTTTAGACGCCCTTGCCACTGCAGAGCCGCTGCCACTGCAGGATCAATCCGTTCTTTGTTTGAAAGCTTGACCCCAGTTGGCATCTGAAAATGGCCGCTCACATTGAGCGTGGTTCTGGTTCCGCTGGAAGTTTCTTCCTGTTATAAGGTAGTTTTTCCCCTTTACTGTCGCTACAAGCATGCTTGGTGTGAGTTATGGCCTTAGAGTCAATGAGTTGATGCAATCAACTGGTTTTCCTTAGATAGAAAACTTTGAATCAATTTGTCTGTATGATCTGGTTGAACTGTAAAGTGCCTTGAGATGACATGTGTTGTGAACTTTTACTTCATTGTAGGACAAGTGGTCAGGCTCAGGAATGGCGGAAAACAACAAATATTGAGATTAGAAATAAATTAAGTACTCTTTCTGTGACCTAAAATAAACATCTAAAATGTTTTTTAGGAAAGATAGGGTTAAGTTTTGTTAAACTCGGATATCTACTTGGTTGGTCAAGATTTGGCTGAATTTAAAAAAATAAAAATGAGTGACCTTAAACCTGGTTTATTCCCACTTATTTAAACCTGCCAACTTTTCCCTGAGAACTGGAAACCTTTTGCTGAAAAGTGAGACCTGACAACCTTCTCTGGATACCTGATAACGTTTTACTGGAACCTGAAACCTTTTCACTACGATCTCTCCTGCATAATTCCTAAGACATGACAACTGTTTTCACGAACTTGAGACCCTTTAGCTTTCTAATAAGACCTTATAAGTTATTTCCTGAAACCTGAGGATGCCCTAAGATTTACACTGTATAGTTCGGATCAGAGACTTCAGGCGACTCACTTTCCAATCAGAGGGACAGAGAGAGATGTCTCAGGGACCTTTTGAGCAATTAGAAACAGGAAGACAGTCTGAGCCAGCAGGACAGAAATGGAGACAGTTAACTTTTGTCCTCCAGCTGGAACATGAACAAAATGGGAAAAGGAAATTAAATTAATAGATGCCTTACTAACAGTAAAACAGTTGTTAATAGTGAACAGAACACTGCATCGGATATTTGGCCAATTCTGTCTTTACCAGAGTGTGAATATCCAATATCTTTCAACATTCCCTCACAAAAGGTAAAAGCTTTCTTTATAGTAAGAGTAAAACTATTACATCAGGATTTAATGTTAACAAAAAGTAACTAAATACTTTTTATTGATGAAATAGGTTTGTAACTTTGAAAGCAGATAATGAAGAGATTATTTTGACAAGTTCCAATTTTTTTCTCAAATTAAACCTTAGCAAGTACTGGTGTTTTGTTCATGATTGATGCTATAGCAAGGGTTGCAATCTCCCCTATGATCACATTTGTATCAAAACAACAAAAGACCTATCCAAGGCCTGTTATTGATAGCAAACTGCACTGGCCTTGAGCAGGAAGGAAATAGGCCAGTACAACCAGTGAGGAGATGAGGGAGCAGGGCAGGATGATGTTGATGATGTAAAACAGAGGCTTCCTTTGAATGACCAGGTTGAACATGATCTCCTGGTACTCGATATCGTCGGGGGAATACCGAGTGTTGATCATCTTCCTGGCAGGTCGATGGACTATGGCCCACTCACCATTCTCTGTTATAGGGGGACAAAAAGAGTTAGGGTAAAAAATGTGGAGCTTAAATATAAGGGTGAGGAAATGTGTACCTGTGAAAGCCGCAGGGTCAATGTGCACCCATTCAAATGTTTCATCATTTTCAGCAGCCAAGATCAGGTCCAGCTCGTTGGCACTGTATGTCTGGGACCTTGGGTTTTGACAGAGCAGAGACACAGATAATAATAAATAATAATAATTCATTCAAACATTTTGAGAAACTTGAAATTTTAAGGCAAAAACTTCCACAAAATGTGAGGTTTAGGACTTTAACTTAAAGCAGTACTGTGTACATTTTAACCTCTAGGGGTGAGCTCATGGATTAATAATCAGATATTATAACTGAATATTCATATTTTAATATTTTACCTTCTTTTTCACAACTAATCAAAATGGTCAAGCTAAAGGCTGTTATAATCTGCTGCTCTGGGATTTTTGGTTCTGTTTAGTTTTCACTTTGGGTTTTCTGTCACACTTGGATTTGTTATTCTGTTTTAACCGTTAAGAATTATATAATATTTTGAATTACCGTACTTATTAGTTTTACTATTCCTATAGTTAGTTATCTAAGTTATCTCCATTCCCCTATCCTCTAGTTTTGCCTTTGGTCATTCCTTGTTTTCTACTCATATGTCGTATTTACTTTTTGCTTCGTTTAAGTTCTTTTCCTGTTTGACTTAAGCCCTGTTTGCTCCTTTCCCCTTTTAGCTGCTTCTGTCCACACCTGCTCCCAATTAGCTAATTACTCCATTCATTGTTCTCTCCCATATATACTCCTCATCTACAGTTTCTCACTGCCGGATCCTCTTCACTCATGTATCTTTCCCTCTCATGTCTCTTAGTTTTGGTTCCCTGTTTATTATTCCTGGTTTATTGCTTCTGTTAAAATCTAACTCTAAATTATATCTACAAGAAATCTTCCCTGCCTCTTCATCTTTGCATTTGGGTCCTCAGCTAACTCCCCCTAAACTTGACAAGGCTCAAAGTCTAAAATTCAAAAGGGTACTTTAGCATTTATTTATTAGTCATATTGGGCTAAATACAAGAAAAATCTAATCTGTAAAATGAAAGCAGGGTGTAAGAAAACAATATGAGACAATTTCTTTATGTATACCGTAGCAAAGAATTTAATACAACTTTCACCCCTGGTGCCAGACTTCTAACGTCCAGTTTTGGTGCCCCTGAAAGCAACTAGCAAATCAAAATTAACACGTTTTCCCAACTGATTCGGAATCTGCAGCAATTTGTTTTGTTAAAATTAAATTTCAAATGAACAAAAGGCCTCTAAGTTAAACGGCAGGTTTTTCTACATTTCACAACAAAAACTCAAATTTAAGCAGAACTTTCACCTGCTGAACAAAGACTGAACTTAAAGGAATAATTACTAACAACTCACTGACTGTCAAAGAACACAACCTACTTAAATTATTGTCCCAACATTTAACACAGGTTTTCAGGTTTACACAACAGAAAAAAATGAATCTTCTGTTTTTTGTCTTCTTTTACAGTGATTGTAAAGCCTGCTGTGCTTTGATTTTATTTACCTGAATACCAGTGTGCAGTTTTGATAGTCAAATGGGAAGTAGGTGATTTCAATGGCACAGGTGCTGCGATAGATAGCTGGAGGCAACCAGTACATCCATCCATTGCTGCTGATCAGGACGTTGGCGTAGTAAGCCACATCAAACTGGCCATCGATGCTGCACATGACAAAGAGGAATGGGAAAGAGAGCTGACCTGAAGCAGCTTTCTCACTCTGCACAGGAAAAAACAAAAAAACAACACAGGATCTCACACACATTTTCACAAAAAGGCCTCACTTGTTTTCCAGGACGATGTCAGGAAGCCAAACCGTGTTGTACGGCACCCGGATAACTTGAATGCCGTGATAATTGCTTTCATTCCAGGAAAGGCGATAATCAGACCATTGCTGTTGGACATTTGAGAGGAAAGTCAACAGTGACGTTAAAATCCAGGTTTTTGACGGGGGTTAAAAAATAAGACAAAATAGAAAACTTACAATTTCAATCCATACGTTGGTTGTAAGAGTCTCTTCTTTCTCATTCTGCAAATTCAGGGGAGAAGCAGGAAAATGCATTAGAGCTTTACCGTTTTGAGCCGATGAGAGTGATAAATGTGTACAATGGGAATCTAGTCAAACTGTTAGTACAGCACTTGAACATTTCCCATTCGGTTATTGGTTATAGTTTGATTTTGGTGCCAACAGAAAATAGTGCAACATCTGAGGCAGATGGAAAGGGGCATACAGAGGGAATTTGATCTTAAAAATATTGTAAAATTCAGAAAACTGGGCTGTTAGCTGCTAAGGTTTCTTTTTGCTGCAGTTATAGGCTAATTAAACCTATTAGGGAATGTCTATCATAACCATGTAGATTAGTCATTTATTCCTTACAGCTAAATGGCTGTAAGGAAGATACCATACTAGAACATACAGATCAAGGCTTGCAACAAGCTTCTAATTAGAACAAGGTCTGAACTTTGACTAGTCCATTTAAAAACATGAGCTTTGCAAAGAACCCATGGTTGCTCTGGGTCCATGTTTTTAATGCTACAGTTCTGCTTAAGGGTGAATCACACTGCTTCAAAGCTTTTTACAATAAATGTTTTATGACACTGATTCCAAAAGGGGGGGTTGTGGCCCCATTGGGGGTTGCAGATAAAAAAGTAGGGGGTCTTGAGATCCTGTAGTGTTTAAAAGTAAAAAAATAAATATGATAATGAGGCATATTTACGTTAACAGACATTAAAATGTCCCTTATTGCTGTTATTAATCTTATGTCAGGTTATATCTTTTTCAATAGTTTGTAATCAACCAAAAGTTTGGATCATTAATTTATTCTGGTACTATTTTGTAGATCGGAGAGTGAAAAGTTTTATTTTATGGTTTTGTGTGTTTGCTAAAGTTTTCTAAGGAAACCTCTAGGGCTTTACCAAAACAACAGCAACTGTTTTCTGTGAAGTAGTTGATTTCAAGTGATTATGAATGCAGACTTTTCTAAGTTTTATCTTATGTGTATGTCTCTGAAATGGGGGTCGTTAAAGGGAATTGTTGGCCTGACTGAATAGGCGAGGTGTTCTTTCCCTTTGTATGGGGGTAAGGGTTGCGATGATAGGGGGAAGGAATCAACTCTATTGCTGCACTGTAGGTTTTTGAAAGCTGGTCTACTGTATAAAGCCTCAAACTCAATGCTATTTCTGACATTTTTGATTGGAAAAAGCTTCCTGGATGGGAAGCGAAACGTGTTCAAACTTGGAAACAAAGTCCATTGTATTGTTATTTGACTTTTACAGATATTATATTTTCCTTTTTCTCAAATGTCTCTTTTTCAGATTGAGTTTTACAAATTGCATTTTGGAAATTGCTTTTTACAGATGAAATTCTCTCACTTAGAGCCAAATAAAACACTTGCTAATGACCAATAAAAATGTTGCTACTAACGTCCAGTATGTGTCTTTGCTTCCCTCTCCAGACGAAAGCCTGCTCCCAGAGTTAAAAAGAATGTGATCTATAAAACGCTATTTGAAAAGAATGCAACAGAAAAAATAACATTAGGAAATAATCCAATGATGATTTGAAAAAAAAAAAATTATCTGGGAAAAGGATTAAAATTACTTTTGAAACCTTTTTTGATTAAGAAATGTATAAAAGTTGTTTTTCTAGACTGCATTTTTTTTCAGTTTTGATTTTTTACATTTTTTTCACAGGAACTAATTAATGTTTTTTTAGATGAGACTGAACATGATGAGAACAACTAACAGTGTCAGCTGTTTAAAACATCAGTTTCATGGAAAATCAGAATCGTGTCAGACTTTTAAAATAAGAAAAAATTAATCGGTATTTTGTCTATGCATGGAAAATGGGAAAATTGTTGAAATATGAATGCCACCAATGTTTTCTTTAATGTTGTACCTGTGTTTTTTTTTTAAATGATTTTCTTTAAAAAAAAGTAAAAAAATGGAAACTTACCAGTGAGATTAGATTAGTCAGCGTCAACTTGATCATAACCTGCACTTTCTCCTCAGGATGGACTGCTGGACGGGTGTTCTTGTTGTAGCCTTTGAACAAGTCATGGATCAGCTGTCTTTCCTCATTACACACCACTAAAGAAACAAAACATAGGGTGTAAGGCGAGACAGGTGTGTCATTTTCCTGATAAAAACAAAGCATTCAGTTTAGGCGAAATAAAACCTTCCACTACACTGCAAAAAAACGAAATCTAGATGAGTAATTTTTTCTTAAAATAAGTAAATTTTTTCTTGGATTGAGGAGGTAAAAGACACGTTTTGCCAATGGAACAAGACAATTTACACCTAAAATAAGAAAACACAACTACCGGTACATTGTCTACTTTTTAAGTGCGTATTATCTGCTTATCTTATTTTAAGAGTAAAAATTCTCATTTCATTGGCAAATTATCTCATTTACCTTCTCAAATTAAGGATAAATACACTTAATTTAAGACATTTTTACTTATTTCTAGATCGTTTTTGCAGTGTATCCTTAGTTTAGATTACAGAGCAACTATAAATTTACACTTTAAATCAAATTTGTCTATTTGCCACTAACATTTACATTCGTGTTTGGCACTAATAGGGTCACAGTTAAACCCTCTACAAAGCAGCAGACATGTGGTCCCTCATGGGTTCTCCAGTCTCTGGCTGGTCCAGCCAGGCGCAAATATTTAATTTACCCATGGGACAGTTTGCATAGCTGCAGCTCTGTAATGACAGCGTTGACAGCTGTTTCAATTCTTAATCATTAAGCACCGCTAGGCTTCACACAGGATGCATTTGAGGGCAAACATAGTTGAAGCATGAACATCAAATATGTACAGGAAGTAAATTAATAAATTAGGGAATAAGATCAAATAAGTGAAATTTGAGCTTATTTGATGAGCTACAACTGTTCAGGTAAAACAAAACATTTCTTGCATCCTACCAAAGATAACAGTAGAAATCTGTTTGACACAACGATGCTGACTTCCAGATAGTGCTATATGAGCTGCACGCTATGTTCTTAACTGCTAAATACAGCTCACCCAATCAAGTCAAGTGCATACAAAGTTCATTCAGTATTTTATGTCAGCGCTTTGACCTCAACACTTCCTGCAGCTGAAACCTAAATCATCCTGGTGACGGACGCTAAAACCGCAGGCAAGGTCAGAGATAAATACAGAAGGATTAAAAAAGGATTAATGATGCGTGGGAACTTTGTCTTTAACATGTTGTGACATGGAGGTAGAGAGCATTTTGTCAGAGCAACACGACCCTACAGGTCAACATTACATCATCATGGTTTAAGCGTGGTAAATACAAGCCCCCTTTTTCTTTCCTGACTCTGTCCGACTTGTGCTGATCTGATTGGGTTGCTTTTTACCATATTTTATAGAAAATTACATCAGAGTTGATTCTGAAGAATAAAAATGAGTTCACAATACATGATGCAATGAAAGGATACATACAAAACAGGTAGAAAAATCCCTGGACTTTAAAAACGATGACCAGAAATTCTGTAATAATAAAAAAATGCAATAAAAAGAGGAAATGACATGGGGTGCTAATTGTTTTAGATACTTCACATCCAAATTTTGTATTTTGTCTTTTATCTTTATTATTATTATTATCAAATGATTTCAGGAGTTATATGGTTTCTACCCTTTTCTGCACAGTCCGCCATGGTGGCGACAGACACAAAACTTTGTGTAAACAGACACCTAAAGACATACTAGTCACCAAGGCAACAGCAAGGGGAAAAAAAATTTTTGTTTGATATAGAAATTTTTTTGGTGGAAATGTTTTTCTACCAAAAAATGACAATGCAAGAAATAGAGCTGTCAGTTATAGAGTGAATTTTGTTCCATTAGTATAGCAAAGAAGACTTGTAAATCAAAATGTAGAAAAGAAAAATGCAACCCAGAAATCACAGTTTTGAAGGTTTTGAGAATATTTAAAATTTTCAATTTTTATTTTGACTTTTTTTCAACAGATTTTATGTCTCTCTTTGAGTTTTTATGCAGGCGTCCTGCGTTACTGTCACATTTTCCTCTGGAATGGAGAGAGAACAGAAGGGAATGTGATCTATAAATGTGAAGAGAATGCAATTACACTAAATCTGAAAATGATCATTTTGAAAATTTCAATTTATAAACATGACATATGTAAAGAAAAATAATTTGGAAAACTTATTTTTTAAATATAAAAAAAATAAGTAAAAGTGATTAGAAAGTTTTCCAAAGCGTAATTTCTGGATAGGATTTTTTCCCCCCCAGATATTTCCAGTTACAAGACATGCTCTTCGGATGCACAATTAATTAAACAAATACACAATGATGGTCTTAAGAGACAGGGGTAAAATTCTTTTAGTAAAAGAACACCAATGAAAAAGAATGAGATAAAATTTAAAAATTAATGTAACCAGGGTTAAATCTCTTCAAAAGCTGAAAATTGTCCAAATGACTGCCTTGGGAGTTACAACTAATAGTCATGTTTTTTGTCTGTTGGAGAAAACAGGAGTACCCAGAGAGAGTCCCCTAATTTACAGGAAGAGCTGATCAACTCCATGCAGAAAGAGCCAAACTCAGACAAGGCCACAGTGCCACAAACTTTTCCACCTTGCAGACCATGTTGTTTCATTCTTTCATTAAATGAACGCTTTATATATTTTGTCTCTGCTTAAAATAAAAGTATCTGTCACTAAATGTATCTTAAGATGAGCAACATTGCAGAGTCCGCTTGCAAAATTCAACTGAAATATACCATATTTTCCAGAAACTTTATATGATTTTACTCTAATTTCTAATTTGAAAACTTTATTTTCCACAACTTATCCTATATTGAGATGGAGCAAAGTGTTGCTTTTTAAATAAAGAAATACAAAATGACTGGGTATAATTAAACAGTTTCATAATGAGTTTGAACGCTTCAACAGCATTTGTATTGTGATTTACAGAAAAAGCTTTTTGTGAGACAAAAAGGCTTTGGACCTTTAATAATAAATGAATTTTTTTTTAGATGTAAATCCTAACAGATTTTTTTTTTTTTTTTTTTTTTTCATTTAACCTTAATTTATTCATCCAGGGGACCTCATTTAGATCCACAATTTTATTTTTAAAAGAGACATGTTTGCTCACACAAAAAAGCCATTAGATTAAAACGTTATACAAATACAACTAATTAAAATGTTCGACTCAATTAAACAAGTTAATTAAAAAGGACTTAAACGTGTGCAAGTGGGCGTGCTTTGGTGGCGCAGTGGTTAGCGCACACAACCCATGTACGGAGGCCTTAGTCCTCAACACGGCCGACCCAGTTTCGAATCCGGGCTGTGGTCCTTTGCCACATGTCTCTCCCCCTCTCTTATACCCCTTTTCCTGTCAGCCTACTGTCCAAAAAAGACTAGCCACTAGTGCTGTAAAAAAAAAAAAAAAAAAAAAAAAATGAACAAGTGCAAGTCCCATAATATTTGGATGAAAGCCCATCACCTCCAGCTAAATCTCTCAAAAGAATGAACTGCTTGTTTTCCCAACCAAACCAACCATACACTACTACTAAAAACTAGAAAGGTCCGACCATACCTAACCCAACATGCTACCCAGCTCCTGGTGCAGTCTATGGTTATCTCCTGCCTTGACTATTGTAACATACTCCTGACTGGTCTCCCAGTCTGTACGATAGAATCGTTATAAATTATCCAGAACCTGGCGGCGCTGCATCAAATTCAAGTCCCTGATGCTAGCGTAAAAAGTGGCTCCCGTTATTTGAACATTCTAACAAAGGTTTATATCCCAACTTGGTTACTCAACTTCAGCAATGAATTTCTGTCTAGCAGTGCCTACACGCTTAAGACAATCCAGACTGTTTTCATGGGTTAATTCCGAGATGGTGGAATGACAGACCAAGCGCTACAAGAACAGCAGAACACCTGTATATCTTTAGGAAAATCCTCAAGACCAAACTGTTCAAAGAGCATCTCCTATCCTAAATCTTACCCATAGCTCTTTACTCCTCAAATACTCTTTCTGTACTTCCCTCTATCTCTTTGCTGTCACCACTGATTCTGACTAGGGATTTTTCCTACCAGATCTACTTTGTAATTCACTTTGGATAAAAGCATCTACTAAATGCATCAACATCTAAACATCTAATATTTCTCATTTTGCTTCAAAAATGTCAGTTGTCGCAAAGGCATTTGTGTGAATAGTTCCAGATCCAGCAGAGTACGAAAATGTTGAAGGAGACGAAGTCCTGAGAGTAAAGTTTGTGGCTGGATTCCATGATCGGTCAGGCGGAGGCTGTCAAAGGACAGATAGATATGTAAAAGTGGATGAGTCCATTCATTAATAATAATGGCCAGTTCACATGAGAATATCGATTAAAGTGATAAGTAAGAGATCTATACCTTGCTATGACCATTATTGTTCTATGATAGAGAGCATCCAACAAATGGGTGTAACAGGTGTGCTCATAGACATGCCAGTGATTTAACACTAAAACAAGCTTCTTTGCACTGAAAGAAAAGCCAAATGTATTTCTGAAGAAGACCCCTGGTTTTATCTACAACTTCTTTACCTTTTAGTGCATGATTTAAAGTTGAGGTTTTTTTTTTGTCAATTTTTATGCTAAGTTTCTGTTATAGGAAAAAAAAGATTGAAATATCCAATCCATTTAAACAAAGGGGATGGATTGCAATAAATCAGTTGACACTTTATTTTGCCAAAACAAGAACAAGACAATCATAAAAGCCCTCACAGCTTGATGCTCTGCCCAGCTCTACTCTAGAGAAGATTATACAAACTAATTAAAAATAACTGTGAAGGTCTCCACATACAGTTTAACCATAACAAGCTACAGACGGTTGTAGAAAACAATAAAATGTTGAATTAACCTTGAGTCTAAAGGACTCTGTCCTCTATTCCAAATATTACCAAATATTAATAAACAATTTTTCTCACCCAAACACTGCTTAGCCTTGCAGATGCACAAAGGCCTGACTGAATATTTTCATATGGAAAGAAAATAAAAAAAAATGCACTCATTATTAATTATAGAAGTAAATATATAGGAATTTGACTTTACATAAGGTATGGAGTGAATTGTCTTCC